CCAGCCCTGAAACCCCACCTACTTCATTGGCCAACCCAGAGAGAGGGCCGGGCCCAGGGAGCAGGGAACCCACGGAATGCCCTTCCTTTGTGGTGTGCTCTGTGTATAACCCCAGCCAGACCCCAAGTTCTGCTTTCTCATTCCCTCAAGGACACTGCCCTGGACAAATGAACAGCTGTTCCTCTCCTTCCTCCACTTCCCTTACCCTCCCCTGCCCACAAGCTAATAGGAACTGGAGTCCAGAGAGGCCCAGGACTTACTCAAAGGTCTCCAGTGACAATGATGCTTTCTTACTCAAAGTCTGCCCCTTTACCACCAGCCTTACCAGCTACAGGCCATAATGGAGCTCAACCGAACTTACCAAAGTACTGTCTTTAAGAGTCACTTCCCTGCTTAAAAACCTTCTGTGGCTCCCCGTTACCATGAAGCATAAAATGTCCTCATTTCTGGCTCCACTTCCATTTTCTGCTTCTCACAGCCCCACCCTAGGGCCAGTCCTGTCTGCCCATGGGCTCCCTAACTGTCTAGCTCTGTCCCCACCAAAGATGAAGTTTGCTTACAGATTCAGTTCTTCCAAGTACAGGGTGAAAGCAGCTTCCAGGTGGAACTTCCCTTTGGGGATCCCTGTAGCTGTCCCAGAGACAGCTCTGCTTGCCTCGTCCTTAGAAGCTTGTCAGTGCCCACTCCTCAGGACCTGCGCCTGAGGACGTGTGCCCCAAACAGTGCCAAGCTCCCTCAGGCAGTTGGCAGTCCCCTGTATAGGTAGGTGAGTGAGTGGTGTGGTCTTTGGGGGTTCAGATTTGGGGCAGAGATGTAGCAGGGCAAATTTCTCTGTGACAGGTGGCATGAGGGCCTTTTGCGACATATATTTCACGAAGGAGTTAAATGGCTACTGGATGCCACGCACGAGAAGATAGTACCTCTGCTAGAGAGCACCCCTGGTGACGGTGGGACTCTATGGGGGACCACAGATATGAGCCCAAAGGGGAAAGCTGCTGGAAACACATATAACAAAAAGTATGAAACTCTGAGAAGAACATGTCAGTGAAAATCTTCATGACTTTGGATAAGGCGCCGCTTTCTTAAGCATGACATCAAAAGCACAGACAGGGGGCTGGCAGGTGGTGCGGTGGTTAAGGACGCTGGAAAATCCCACATGGCCAACCGCAGTTTGAGTCCTGGACCTGGAAGCTTGCTTTCTCTCTCTCTGGTCAAATTAAAATAAATAAATAAATAAACAAACAAACAAACAAACTACATAAAGTTAAATAAAACAATTCTTAAAAAAAAAAGGCACAGGCTGTAAAAGGAAAAATAGATTTGTTGAGCTTCATCAAAATTAAAAACTCGGTTGCCTCAGAGGACACTATCCAGAGAATGAAAAAAGGCAACCCATAGAATGGGAGAAAATATTTGTAAGTCTTATATCTGATAGGAGATTAACATTCACAATATACGCAAAATTCTTAGCATTCAACAACATAAAACCAAACAACTGAACTCAAAATATGAGCAAAGGGGCTAGCTTCTTGGCCTGGTGGTCGGGGCAGCTGGATCCCACATGACTAACTGCATGGTTCAAATCCCAGCCCAGTGGCTTGAAAAACACACCAGATGCATGTAATGTGCTTGCCCAAAATCTCAATATGGAGGAGAAAGGATTGTGGTGTGACCATGCTCTGTTGGGGGGATTCTTTCTCCCTTTCCTTTTCTCTCTTTCTCTTCTGCTGTCTCTGTCTCTGTCTCTTCTCTGGTGAGTGCACACGTCTCTCTGGCAAATTGTTTTTTAAATGGGCAAAGGGCTTGAACAGACACTTCTCCAAAGAGGATATACAAATAGCTAATAAGCACACTAAAAAATGCTCAGCATCATTACTATAAACCACAACCATGATGAGCTGCCACTTCACACCCATTAGTATGACTGTTGACAAATAAAAAAGAAAAAAACAATTGTTGGTGAGGACGTGAGGAAATTGAAACACTTGTATATTATTGGTGTGAACGTAAAGTGGTACAAGCATGAGGACAGAAGTCTGGCTGCTTCTTTCTTATTTCTAAAATCCCTTCCAGAGGACCTGGGGTGAATCACACCCACAGTCATTAACAGACCATTTTGGCCCATTTGATAACAGAAATCTTCCTATTTTCTGTCCCTGGCATAATATCCCAGTAATGGGTGAGTTATACCCACAATCATTAACAGATCAGTTCGGAGTCATTGCTAACAGGACTCTTCCAATATCCTGTCCTTGGGACAGTATCTTGTGACTGTGTACAAACCCCCTTATCTCTGTTAAAGTACACTCTATTAATTCCTTCCCCAAACCTAGAAGCCCCACTTCTACACGTCTGGCCTTTTTGGGCTAGGCCAATGGAAAGCTCTTCACTAAATTCTCTCACTCTCAAAATCAAATAAAAGAAAGCCCTGTACCTGATCACCCCAAGAGGCATGTTTTGCCTCCTCTCTGGCCTAGGTCACGCAAGTTCATACTTAGAAATAAACCACACTAATTATTATTTTTGCAGAGTTGGTTATTTCTGCCGACAGGCACCATGGGAAACAGTTTAGTAGCTCCTCAAAAAGTCAAAATAGGGGCCAACAGATGGTGTAGTTGCTAAGGTACTGGACTCTCATGTGGCCAACCATGATTTGCCAACTCTGCAGCTTAAGAAATCATACCAGGAGCATATGCATGCATGTCCAGCCGAAAAATCCAGAGAGAGAATGGAGAGAAGAGATTGCCATCTCTTCTATCCCCCCCTTGGGGGGGCGATTTCTTATTTTCTCTCTCCAAAGACCCAGAAGTATTGAAGACAGGGACTCGAATAGACATCAGTACACCAGTGTTCATAGTCTCATTATTCACAACAGCCAAAGGGTAGAAACAGTCCAGGTGTCCACCAATGGAGGAATGGGAAAAGAAAATATGGTGTGTGTGTGTGTGTGTGTGTGTGTGACTATAAATGAGCCAAAATAAGAAATTAAATTCTGATACATATTATATCACACAAGCCAACCTTGAAAATATGCTGAGTGAAATTGGCCAGGTAGGCAAATGTCTTATGATTCTACTTACATGAAATATCTAGAATACACAAATTCAGAGACAGAGAGTAGACTAGAGGTTACCGGGAGCTGGGGGGAGGGGAGAGGAGAAATGTGGACTTAATATTTAATGGGTACAAGTCTGTTTGGGTTAATGAAAAGGTTCTGTAAATAGCCAGCGGTAGCGGTTACACAATATGGTGAGTGTACTTAAAGGCGCTGAACTGTTCACTTACAGACAGTTAAAATGGTGCATTTTCCATCATGCGTATTTTACCGCACATGCACGTGCATGTTGGCAACTTCGCAAACCTCCCTGATCCTACATGCTGAGTGAGCAGAGTGTGTGTGTGTGTGGGGGGGGCTGGGGAGGCTGGAAGTGGGACAGGAAACTCATGACATTCCCCAGCCCCCAACCCATCCGCTTCCAGGGTTGGACACAGCTGATTCTGACAGCTACCAGCGGGCACACCTGGGGAGGCCGGAAAAGCGGCCCAGGACCTGGATGGGATGGATTGCCTGTGGGATGACCAAGCTGTGCTCAGCCAAGTGCAGGAGGCAGAAGGGGAAGAGGGTTCTAGCAGGGAGCACAACTAAGACAAAGGTCAGGGTCAGGGCAGGAAGACCATGGCTCCTCAAGGGCTCCAGACCTCTCACTGGGTTGCTCCACAGACAGGTCTGGTCATTGGCGGTAGACCCGTCCCGTCTAGGCCTACTCCTTTTCCAGGATGATGTACCCACAACCTCCAAGCCAGGTCCTCAGTCACTAGCGGCTGGCCCAGACTGGCCACGGGCCTGGATTCTGTGCTTCTCTTCTTGACGAAAGGCAGACTTCTGGGTGCATTTGAAGTCAGGATGGCCCTGGGACCCAGAACCACACAGAGTATCCCAGCTAGTCCCTCTGCAGCGAGGACTTCAACAAGCTATGCTTGTGTGTCCCCGGTTCCCTGGCTCCCCCATCCGGGGCCCTGGCAAGGCCAAGGTTTAACTTAAAGGAGGAAGGGTGGGATTTTGGACATACCGATCACAGAATGGAGCTTTCTAGAGTCATCCAAATCGTACCATGTAGATGTCACCTGTGCTCAGCCCAGCCCTGACACCAAAGGGGCCCACCACAGTCCAGCTTATCTGCTCTGCCTATTCCACCCCAAAGACCAGCCTCAGCTCACAGAATTGTCCTGGAAAAAGAAAAAGCAGGGACAACATCAGAAGGCACTCTTGTTCCTGTTTGAAAGTCTGGTGTGGAGAAGATACCCCTGGCCTTGGACTGGGTCTGGGAGGCCTGGTGGGCCTCTGGCACCCCCTGCTGGTAAAACGATCATTCCAAATCTTGGTGAATAGGGAGCTGTGCTGCCCTCAAACTCCCTCCCTTGGGCAAGGACTCTTTTGAACAAGATGGTCCCTCAGACAGGAGATTCCTAAGGTGTGTCCTTACGTCTCTTGGGCACTCTGAAAACAAGGTTGACAATGCCCATTTCTAGAATTGGCATATGTTGCATGAGGGGAAGTCGAGGTGACCAGGTGCAAAGTGGATGCCCATGTCTACTGCCCATGTAAGACCAAGTATCTCACGGACATCCTAGTAGGCAGGATGGGGCCCCAAGTCCCTGACTCCTGATCCCAGAGGCCAAGTCCCGAATAGGCAGCTCTGCCTGGGGTAGGATTCGGTTTCTATTTCCTTAGCCAGGGCTGCTCCCCAACTTCCTTCTTAGGCTGGAGAAGAAGGGGCATGGGGTGATGTGGCCAGCTGGAAGGCTCTGACCCACAGATAGGGTATGGCCGGGCAATTCCAGGAGTCCATTATCTTCAAAATAGTGGAAAGCCCCAAACACAGGCCAGACATGAACTCTGAGAGCCGGAGACTCCTCAGTGCCGTCTACTGGCTGGGGCATGGAGAATTCACATTTCAGTCCTTAATCTGGCCCTAAGGCTCCCGGCAGAGAGCCCATCTCCTAGCTGTGCTGGGTGGTGCGGGGCGGCCTCACGCAGGCTGATGAAGGGGTGATGGGGATGCCGAGTGGGATCAAGGTGGGGGTGAGGGGAAGGGGAAGACTAGGGGTGGACTGCACTGGGCCTAGGGTGGACACTGAGGTGAGAGTGGTAGGTTGGGTGAGGGAGAGGGTCGAAGCTGAGTGCAGGTGAAGATTAGGACAAGGTCGAGCTGGGTTGGGATGAGGAGGTACAGGTGGGGTTGGAGTTAGGATGACGTGCAGGAGGGAGACGATGACAGTATGCAACGGGGCTGGGACCGAGGGAGCTGAGAGTGAGGGCGGCTGGGTGGGACTGAGGCTGTGGCAGGGAGGGGTCAGGGTGATGGTTAGAATTGGACTGGGATGTGAGATGTGGAGGAGCACGGGTGATGGTGGGATTTGGGTTGTGAGTACAGCTTTGATTAGTATCTTGGGCTCAAGTTGGTTTGGGGTCCAATGCTCACACCCCAACAAGTCTCAGCTCAGCCCCACTCCCATCACACAGCCCACCCACCATGGCCCAGGGTGGGGGTACCTGCTACACAGGAGGAAGCTGCGGTGGGCTGCAGGTCCCACAAGAAGAGAACAGGAAGGAAGGCCAGGAGCTCCAGTGCAGCTGGCTCCCCGAGTTCTGCTACCCTGAGGGAGGAGGCGCCAGCTGGGGGCTGCTTCCTCTTTTCCCAAAGCCTCTGCTCTACTGCCCTGCTGGGAGGCTGGGCAAGGAGTCAGCTGCGGGCCTTGTGCAATAGCTGGACAGGAAAGACCCTGAGAGGGGAAGGCCCCCAGCAAGGCCCAGGACTTAGGGACTTGAGCAAGCAGAAGTGGGCTCTGGGGCTGCCCTGGAGCCTCCTCTCAGGCAAGGCAAGAACAGGGAGGGAGTGGAATGTCCCATTCACCTCTCTTTCTGGGCCCCGGAGCCTCTTGAGGGAGTCCAAGAGAAGTGAGAGGGAGCTTCCTGCACACTGCTCTTCCCTGACACTTGGAAGGAGTCCTGTGGGAATCTCCCTGTACCCCGCTGCCACCTGGATACCCTAAAAACCCCCCAAGAGGGATTAGATGGTGGAGCAGCAGTAAAGTAGCGTGCCATGAAGCTGACTCCCAGGAGGGCTCCAGGCTCACTCCAGAGGCCCCTGAGTATGCCGGGTGTGCATGT